AATTGTACAAATGTGAAAACTGAGCTGTAAAGCTGATAAAAGAAGTCCAAGCCACATGGTGAATGGGTCCATATTTTTAAGCACAGCGTTCCAGTACCTATTCCTATCTTATGTTACAGGCAACAAGTATGAATATTAACCAAAAGAATAAAATTCAGTGCCTTCTTGTATATATACACTGTGTGTTCTACAGAGACACTATTTTTGATGTGATTCTTATTATCACAGGAACTTAAACTGGCCAGGCTTTGCATACACGAGGGCAGTGATTTCCAGAAAGCTTTCTCCACAGCGTTTCTACAGACTTCTTAGTTTAGTCAAAAAGCTGTTCATTCTTCTCAACAGCAGAATCAGGAGTCTCGGGGTAATGTGCAGTCTAAGATAATGCTCAAAATAGGAAAGTGTCCGAGGTCCTTATGCTTCTTCCAGACCACAGAACATACACAGGACACCATTTTATTTTTCAAAAATAGGGGGAAACCTTCAGACATGCGAACTGAAACTTCTATTTAAATCCTGCCCCTGTCTTTAAATGACTAAATAACTTTGACTAAGTTACTCCACCTCTCTGAAATCAGTTTATTCAACTGTATATTTTACTGAAAACTAAAAGAAGGCTTTGGTGTTTGCAATTAGCTTGGCAAGTAATAAAATGTTTTGCAGTTATAAAGTATGAGGTAAGTATAAGACAAATGCAAGAAGTTGGTATGGTTTTCTTCTATATAACCCTTTAAAGTTTTCTAAGTTATTTATGGCTTGAGAAATTCCAGAATAACACTCTACTCCTAACATTTGTGAAGTTCCTTTTGCTTTTACATTACTATAACGTATTTTCCATAAGTATTGGGTAGAAGGATGGATGATTGGTGTCATGAGAGAGCGGATGCCTAAAAGTGAGAAAGAACTGTTTATCATGTTTCCGTTTTTTTTTTTTTTTCCTTTCTTTTTGTGTCAATAGTTATCCCTTGGTAGTATCTATGTTTTCATCTATGTGAAGGGGTAGGAATCCTTAAATAAAGGCCCTGCATTGATTTATTGCCTCAGTAAACTTGTTTTTCATGCTCTTTGTTTTTTTCATTCAATAAAAATGTATTGAGTAACTACCATCAGCTGAGCATTGCTCAAGGTTCAGGGAAAGCACAGATGAGTATCTCACGATGCTTTAGATTTTTGGTGCTTATTTCTTCTGCTAACTGTGTCCTTTGTAAACCTCCTACACAATGCTGAATAGATGGAGGCTCGTGCAGTCGTGTGGAAGCCCTAACAGTGCTGAGAGCTGCGCTTGTCCAAACCTCGCCTGTGAATGTGTACTGGTATACACAGGCCGTGGCTCCTCTGTGGGTTGTGAAATGTGTTTATGCAGAAATGAGAATGCTCCTGCTGCCCTTTGTTACTCTCTCTGCTCTGGGCCTCTTGTCTCAGGACGGCCCCACTGAGCTAGAGATTTTCTCTGCCTTCATGCTTCCAAACAAGGAGAAATTTTAGCCTGTATCTCAGAAGTAATGCTTATATTATTTGTGGAGAATGGCTGAAAAAGGACTCTGTTTTACTGTGCATGTGAAGGAATAGTTCAAACTTTCAGTAGTTTCAGACAGAATTAGAACTAAAACTCAGAATTTCTAACTCTAAAGCCTTGGCTCTTAGTAATATTATAAGGTGAACTACTCTACAAAATGAATTTCCTTCATGTAAGAGAATTATAATGTCAGTAAGTGAGAGGATATAGAGAAGAACTTGGGCTTTGGAATCAGGTAGGACAAGGTCAAGTACTGACCAGCTTTTATTTCTGTGTATCCTTGAAACAGTTACTTACACATTCTGGTCCTTTGCTTCTGCATTTGGTGAAGGATAAAGCAATATCTAGAATATAGAGATGTTATAAAGATTAAATGTGATAATATTTTTAAAATGTAACACACTACCCAGCCTGTCTTAAATGTCTGATATGTTTTCTAAAAAGACTGAATCTATCAGTCCCCTGAGAAAGAGTTCAAATGATGATGGCGATGACAGCAGTGATGGTAGTGATGATATAACATACCTACCATCAATCAAACTTTCATTTTTAAACATATCCTCAATATCAGCACAACTATATTGTTTACTTTATACAAGTCTTTCTGTCTACAAATCCCATTATATTCTCATTATAACACCCTCATTTGCAGAGTCAGCATAGCTATATGAGCGACAAGACTGCTAATGGGAAAAAGAAATAAGCAAACATTTCTTCTTCAAAGATCTCAGAATCCACAACTCTAAGATTTTCAAAGTGACTGATAAGTAAGCACTGACCACCTGCTATTAGGCTTTTATCTTGGAGAAAATCTAAGAACTAACAGTTTGGAGTCACACAGTGTAGGCATGAACCCAGCCCTGTTCTTTGTGAGTGGTGTCCCTCGTTAAGTTACTTCTCATTTCTGAGTTTTGGTTTCCTCATCTATGAGATGAGGGTAATAATAGTATCTATCACATTTGGCTGTTGTAATAATAAGTGAGGCAAGTACAGAGAACAAACCCTTCTCTAGGGTTCTTCCTGTCCAGAAGCTTCTCAATGGAGAGTTGTCTCATTTAGGGTGAGCAAGAAAATTGTAAGGCACTCCAGTATGGAAAAAAGGGGGTTTAAAACTCAAAAGTGGTGACCCAAATAATGGTAGAGCTATAGCCAGATATCAGTAAAAGTAGAAGCTGCCACTATGCTTAGGCTGGAGCCTAAGAGGAAGGAGCTGGAATTCCCAGAGCCCAAGGGCAGGGAATGCCAGCATATGTCATTGCAGTGGCAGCCTGGTCAGCAGAGCTGATGTCACGAAGGAGAAGCCATCACCTGACACAGGAAGAGGACACGTTCTCTGGCCCCCACTCCGTTAGCCCAGTCCAGAAAGGCTGACCTTGGCAGACTGCGAGGCTGGGCACTGCCGTGCAGGTGGCAGTCCCTCCATACTGGGCAGAACAGAGCTTAAGAGCATATAAGCCTGGCACTCCTCGGGCTCAGTTGTGTAGCTCTGTCTCCTAGTTATTGGAGCTGCCTACAGATCCCATTATAAATGGGATAGCCAGCCCAGAGTGTTCCAAAGAGCCTTAATCCACCTGCTGCTGGCCCTCAGAACAGTCACAGAGCTTCCTGAGTGCTTGTGAAAGAAGAATTTGGATAAAGCCCTGGGAGGAAAAAAAAAATCTTGCAATATAAGAAGCTGGTCAGTGACTTCTTCTGGTCCCTCTTTCTGGAAAAGTCTGCTTGTAGAGCAGCCAGTGCCTTTGATATCTGGGGTTCTCTGACCTGAGTTCGCACACCCACCCCATCTTTTACATGACTCTTGCTGAGTAGCACAGACACACTTCTTTGCAACTCTACAGGCATGCCCATTGTCGCTTCGGCCCTGTGGTGGTCTGCTGCAGTGAAGTGCTCCTTTTGATGCTCTTTTTCCCACCCCCAGGCTGAGAACCCCAAGAGCAGGAACTTGTCTTCTCGTTCCTCCAGCCTTTGCGCTGTCACTGCCAGCTTACCCTAGCAACCGTGGCAGGTGCTGATGTGCTAAACACCTGGATGAGGCGGCAGCAGCTTCCTGCAACTTTCTTGAAAGGAGGCCAAAATGGATGCTCTTTGAAAATTACCAGAATCTCATGTGCTGAGGGAGCCCAGGGGTGTGTGAGACATGGTCTTTTCTGGAGAATCCAGGAAACAAGTGTGTAGAAGTCACATTTGAGTTAGGAATAAACTAAGACAGAGGCTGGAGAATGACATTTCAGACAGAGGGAAGAACAAACACAGGGTTCTTGGAGTGGCAAGGACACTGAGTATTGGACATCAAGAGCAAGAGTAGCATTGTGTGGTGCTGGAGAGACCAACAGAAACAGTCCTCTCCTGCATCCCCATCTCTGTGCCCTGCACTGGGCACTGCTCACCTCTTGCTTGTTGATTGCATGTCTTGGCACTCACATTATGCCTCCTAGAAAGGGCTTGTTGGATATTTGAATAAATGAGGAACAAATCAAGGCTTAACCAAACTTTCCAGCCCTGGCATCACATTTGTAACTTCACTTGCCCAGCAGGTATCTAAGAATGCAATCTATGCGAAGAAGCTGGAGTCAATACCATGAAGAAGAAATGCTCAGTTATTTATTTGGCATTCTTTTATTTATTTTTTAAAGTGTTTTTTATGCATACAAAAACTGGTTACAGGCCAGAGGTGGTGTGGGGGCAAGGATTCACCAGAGGCAGAATGGGGAGCCAAACAGACAGACTGAAATACACTGCTGAGAGCAGCAGCAAGCGAGGCAGGAGAGGTCTGCTGCGCTTCGTGGGTCAGCTCCCTCGTGGGTCAAACTTGCTGCAGTGGCTTCAGCTAACTTCACAGTGCTGCGCTTTACCCCCTTGCACCACCAGGGATGCCCATATTTGGCATTCTTTTAACAGAAACCCACTGTCAGTCATCCTGTCCTTTACAGCAAAAGTTCTGCAAAAAGTAGTAGTAAGAATAAGGATCTGAGGATGTCAGAAAGATTATCACCCAACCATGGTGCAGCCAACTTCTGGACTCAATGTGATGGACTCATCCAGACTCCATTCAGCTCTGACTAGCAGTATAACCTTGAAAAGGTCCCTCGACCTTGTCTACTTTAGTTTCTCTACTGATGTATGTGGCCTGAATAACAGGGACTCAACAGGGCTCCTGTAAAATGGGACTGTGTATGTGAACACTCGGCTGGGCCCTGTGTTTTCTGAGCCCCAAGTCGCTGATTGCTGCTGCTTTGATTACTGTAGTTATGGTTGTTTAGTGCTTCAGTGTGGGGTGCCAGACACTGACCAGAATTAACTCAAAGCGTAGCAGGTTCCCTCACGGCAGGCGAGCTGGCTCTCTTGCTTTCTCTTTGCACGGGGCCTACACACAAACTGCTTTCTCGATGTGGTTTGGCTGTTAAGTAAAACAGATTGTTTTATACTTCTTTTCAGCCTTCTTTTTAATCTTCCATAAATAGTGTTTGTTTTTGCTTTCTCATAGGAGTGATTGGGGCAGACGTGAAGGGGCACGGCCTCGCCTGTGAAGGACAGCCAGTGACGTCACGGCTGGCCGTCATCTGTGGAACATCTTCTTGTCACATGGGGGTGAGTCTGCCGGCTGGAGGCTGGGCCGCCGCACTCAGGAGGGGAGCCTGGAGATCTGCGGGCTGGTCCTTTGACCCTCTCAGCTTATCCCCTTTCTGCCTCCGGCTTTGTGTGGCTGGAAGCCCAACCCTCCCTCCACCAGCTTTACTCAAATCATCTTTTCCAGGGGCCAAGTTTTTATAAAATGTGGAGAGGCTTGAGTCTGCCTTTGATATCACCCTGGCCAGGGAGCCCAGGAGGGAGGTGTGGAATCAGATCCAAAGGTGGCAGCGCCTTGCTGCAGAGGGACTTATCCCTAAGGGGAAACCGAGGCTTCTCTGCACAGGGGTGTCTGTTTTCCTTGGCCACAGAGCTCTCTCTCAATCAATATAAATCCATCTCCTTGGGAGCGGCCTGATGATCTATAGAATTAGACTGCGTATCATGACTTCAAAAGAACACTGATAAGCAATTTTCACTTTGTTAATTTTTCTCCATGAATTAGTGGGAAGGCTTTCTCCAAGATTGCAGTTAAAATTTAGTGCCTGCCCTAAAATTTATATCTTCTTTAAATGCATGAGTCTGAAAGCATTCCATTTCGATAAGTACCCATTTCTACCATATTTTTATTTAAAAGTCATTACTCTGTTAAGCTGAGATGGACGACTCCTTGGATCTTTCCCAGATGAGTGAAATAGTTGGGGGTGGGGGAAGTGAATGTAAACGGGGGGAGGAGCAGGGCCATGAGTGAGGGTCAGAGTGGAATTCATTCCAGGCCCAAATCTGCAATTGGGGATGGAATTATGTGCTGGGAGAATCTCTGTTTAATATCTGTAGATACTAGTGAGCCTTTTTCACTCTTCAGTATTTTGGGTGTAAGTATTGATACATTTTATTAAACCTTGGGGACATAAGGAAACGTGGAACTTCCCAATAAGAGAATTGTTACATGTGTTATGACAATATGAGGCCCCCAAATATATAGATATTCACATTGAACTTGTGATTCGGAGCTCCTGTTCAGTCATATGCAAAGTGTCTGCACACAGTTCCCGTTTTACCCATGGTAGAGCCAGTTTGGCTGATGTCCAATCAGCTCCTCAGCTTACTAAGTGGGAATGCTGGGCTAGGCAATCAAGATACCCTGTCTGCAAAATGTGGAGCTTGGCAGTAACCTCTCTTGTAGTCTTGTGATGATGGGATGAAGTGGTGAGATCTGCTTCTCTAGACTGAGTCCTTCAGAAGGATCCATGCTGATTACTAGCAGGTACTGTGGTTGCCAGAAGGGATCCATTGACTGGCTGTCCCTGGACCGGGGCCAGGCTGAATGGAGATCTGTGCAGGACTTTACAATACAGACTGCCTTGGCCATTTCTCCCTACCATGAACTTCCTTTTGTTTGTCTGCACAAAGCTTACCTGGCCTCTCTCTTCCCCATCAACCTACTCTAAGGCTTAGGTGCCACTAAAGGGGAGATCTGCAGAGAGACAGGGCTCCTCTCACATGAGGCACACTCCAGGATAGCCAGCCCTTTTTACTTTGGACAAGATTGTCTCTATCCTGGTTAGCTTGTCTTTGTTGATGTAACCTATCTAAATCAAACATATATTATCTTCCCATTTTCATGTGGACATATCAAATCTGGTTTCTCCTGCAAAGTCTGGATTCAGGCATGTTTACCCCACTCAAATTTCTAAGTGACTCAGTGATGTCTGCTTCTTAGTCTCCTTCAATCTTAATGGGGATGATACTGCCTTTGTCCCTTCGTATCCATTTTATAAATGAAGCAACTGAGAGATTTAAAAGAAAAACAAAAAAACACTGCGATATTTTCCTGTGTTCACAAAACTAGTAGGTAGAGCTGAGCATTCTCGAGCTCCCTACATTCCCAAGGACACCCCCTGAGGCCAGTGGAGAACAATGGAGAGCAGGGACTCCAGGGTCCTCCAGATGTGGATGTGAGCCACTGTTCATGGGGTCGAAGGGCCATTTGGCCTGAGGATAGTTACTAGCTCCTCTGAATCTCTGATTCTGTATCAACCATAGCCGGGGTGACACTGTCACTCTTAGAGGGTCCTAAAGGTGAATCACGTATCTACATACCTAATATAGTGCACACGCAGAAGTGGGGACAGTGCTTATTAAACTTCCCTTACATGAAGCAACTATTTGTGCTTTCCTGAGTTTTATGGGCAGCTCCAGTTGGTTGCAGTGAATGAGGGCCATAAAATGCCACTTTATTATGGTCGTGTTGTGCTAGTAGTCAAGTCCCCTCCCCCACCAGCTTTGTACTTGGGAGTGGGAAGGGACCTTCTGGGCCAAGGGGATTAATCATCAGCTTTAATGTTATGTGGTAAGGGCGAGACTGTGGTGGCGCTGGCATGGGAGGGTGCCTTTGATCTTGCTCAGGTGCTGGGCGCCCAGAGAGCCAGCAACAATAACACTTTTGTGAGGGTGAGGAGAGGTGCAGGCCTGAGGAAACACTCCCAGGGAAACTCAAGGATCCCCTTTGTTGTGGTTCTGGCAAATAAAACCATCAACTGTCAGGAAAATTTCACCAAACAGAACTCAGGGATGGAAGGGAACTCTGGGTTGTTCAATAAGTTGTTTTCAACCTTGTTGGGAGGATTCTCCCGTCTGCTCACTGTTGATGTTTCCAGTTCAGTGGGTTAATTGACACAGAACTCTCAGGAACATTTTATGCTTGCCCCAGATTCCTAGATCACCCAGCATGCATGAATAGATGCATGAACAACTGAATGAATGAATGTCCATGTAAGCAAGTATTGGCAGGTACTTACAAGTTCCCTTCTTCCAAGTGCCTGCCATTTCCAGGAATCTGGAGAAAAAGCCTGAGGTTGAACATAAGACTTATTAAGCAGGCCTTTGATATTTTAGAAGATGCAAGTACAAGTGTGGGCTGCACCTTTATCTTCCTTGTAGATGATTTAATTAACAGAGAAAAAAATACTGTACTTTTTTTTTTAACTCCATGAAAGTAAAGCTGCTGCCTCAGAGTTAATTACTACCAAGTCACCAAAACCCAAGATAATCCACAGCAGGGGTTAGCCAGAGGTGGAAAAGTCACAGGGTCAGACGCAGCCGATCCTTCCCATCATTCCAGCACCCCTTTTTTCAAGCTGTCAGATCAGCTTGTAACTTGGCAACTTGTCTTTCAGTTAACATGTCAGATGGGGAGGGAACCCTGGGAAGGGGGGAGCATTGACAAAGTGAGGTTTGAGCAGAACAATAGTTGGTGAGAGCTGAGAATTATACCTGCATCTTAAAATCACTCCAAATTGAAATATTGGAGTGTGGGATGAGTGTGGGATGATGGTTGTCATGTAGCAGGCGTGGACTCTCATCAACATGGACTCACATGGTAGCTCTGTGAATCTTGTTAATAACAACACTTCATCTTGGCCCTCCCTGGTGGTGCATCGGGTTAAAGCACAGCATTATGAAGCTAGCCGAAGCCACTGCATTACGAATTTGATTTCTGGCCAAGGAGCTGACCCACATGGCGTGGCAGACTTCTCCTGACCTGCCCGCTGCTCCCCTCAGCAGGGTACTTGGTTGATCTGCCTGTTCTGCTCCCCACTCTGTCCCTGGCGAATCCTCTCCCTGCCCCTACACCTCTGGCCTGTACCCCAGTTCTGAATGCAGAAGTAAACAAATCTTTGATAAAAAAAAAAAAAAGACAATTCATCTTCCGGTACCTCCATTTCTTTATCTACTCAAGTGGGCTAAGTATTTACCATAAAGCTGTTTTGAGGATTAAATGTAACCTTTGTAAACATATTGGCTTTGCACCTAGCACAAAATGCCAAACATGGTCTTAGCATTGAAAATGATTCGGGATGCCTAGAATGGCTCAAGGCATATAATCAGAATGAACTCATGTTTGGCTTAACAGGTATAGGAAGGTCTGCTTTGAACTAGGTTGCAGCTGACTTGTACACAAGTCAGTAAACAGATGTCTCCTCACCATGCGAGCTGAGAGGCCTGTGACAAGGAGCCGGACAGCTAGTTGCTCCAAGCACACCTGTTGATCAGATCATGGATTCTAATACCATTCTGTAAAACAAAGGGCTGGGGGAAAGACTTCTCCTTGGAGACATAGTTGATACTATGACCAGGACAGATGCTAGACGAGTGTGGAACATCTTGCAGGACTGGAGTAGAGGGAAGCGAGGGCTAAAAGATACACGAGATTTTTGACAAAGTGACATGGAGGGGGCTTCCAGTGACAAACCTGGGGCAACTGGAGCAGCAAGATAAAAGGTAGGATTAAGTTGTAGTGCAAAGCAGAACATAAATGCCATGAATCCTCACTGATTTAAATAATTACGTAAATAAATAAGTGAAAAACTCAGATCTCGCTTGCAAAAGAATTCCCAAAAAATTATGTCGATATTCCCCTGTCAAGGAAGTAAAACAGCACCCTACTCTTTAAATATGGACTCTACTGTGACTCTTTCTAAAGTGGACAGCATGAAAAGGGAGAAAAAGTAATTTTACAGTGGAAAAAGCTGACAAATACTTTTTCAGCAGGGTGATCAAGGTCTCTTGATAATATGCACCACTAATATAATGCGATACAATGGCACTGATTTTTGTGATCCCCCTCTATAAAAGCTGTAAACCACAGCTTTCTCATAAGAAAAACATCAGGCAAATCCTACTTAAAGGTAGTCAACAAAATAATCTGATCAAGGTCATCAAAAAACTCTCAGAGCTATCAAGGCCTTCAAACATCAAGGGAAATGTGAGAAAGTTTCACAGTCAAGAGAAGCCTAAAGAGGTAGGGGCAGTTAAAACTACTGTAGTATCTTGAATAGGACCCTGGAATAGGAAAAATAAATGAGCAGGAGTTAAAGAAATCTGATGCTAGTAAGACCTTTAGTTAGTGATAAAATATCATTATCATTCTTTAATTATAACATATGCACTTAAAAATATTAATGATACAGGGAGATGAGTGTGGGGAACCTGGAACTCTTGGTACTACCTTCATAGGT